GCGCGGATGCGGGTGGGCGAGCGGTGGCTACAAAGGACGGGGAGGCGGGGACCACTGGAGGGCGGAGAGGTGGTGACGTGCGGAGCCGCAGCGCGGAGGGCGGACGGCCTAACCGCAATGCTCTCGCCGCACCCTCACTCCCCGCCCCTAGGCGGAGCGCAGGGCTAGAGGAGAGGGAGGGATGCATCTCGGACGCGCGCGCGTACACACACACTTACACACGCACGTACGCACGCACTCGGAAAGCACTCAGACACACATACCACAGTCGATTACCCAGGTCCCCAAGCAGCCTCGCTCATACAAGCCACAGATAATCGCGCACAAACACGCACATGCCAGCCTACACTCGCGGCACAGACACGCATTGGACACGTTTATACATCAGCGGTTCACTGCGCGCTCGCGACCGTCCTGCACTGTCGCAGTTGCGGGGGACAGGGCCGCGAACACTATGTACACAGCCCTGTCCTCTGGGACTGACGGTGGAGGATGGGAGGAGACAATAGTCACGGTGTCCTAAACCCCAAAGTGCTAAAAGCCGGGAGGATAGTGCAGCGTTGTCGTTCACAGACACATTCAAGACAAACTCACTCTTGCACGAGGTTCGCTCCAGTGACAACAAAAAGATTTTTCACGCTCATAGAAATTACTAGGAGACTCCACACACGTGTATTCCTAGGTGTCTGGAGACGCCCACATACAAATCTACCCCAGAAATATAAGTGTGGAGCTTAAATGGAAACGCTGAGAAAGACACAGAAGAGGTACATATACGTACACATGTAAACCCGTACTCACCTACACACGTGTACACACATACACGCAGGTACATACATATACAGGAGCACTCACACAGAGGCACACACAGTACACAGGCACACACACATACACAGGTACACACCTACACACGCGTACATACATGCATGCAGATACATACACACACGTACACAGGTACAGACACACACACACATAGTACACAGGTACACACACATGTACACACAAAGGCAACCCACGGGTACACACACATATGCACACACATAGACACATGCACTCACACCACAGGCACCCAAACAAACACTCCCGACTCCAGGGTCACCTCTTACAACCCAAGAAAGCCTCGTGTCTTGCTGCATCAGAATCAGGGACCCTGGAGGTGTGCCTGGAGACTCTAGGATAGCTCTGCTGAGGCTTCCTTCTGTTGTTAAGTGCTGTCGAGTTGGTTCCAACCCATAACGACCCTGTACAGGGTTTCCAAGGAGCAGCTGGTGAGCTTGAACCGCTGACCTTGCAGTTCACACGGCTTTGCAGTCTGGCGCATTAACCCACAGCGCCACACCAGGACTCCCTCCCCTAATTTCTCCATGATTGTAGAGATAATTAGTACTAAGATTCCCCAGGGCCCCAGAGATACCAGCCAGCTGCAGATCCCTCCATGGGCGAGTCCAGACGTGCACCATCTGGGGGTGGCTACCTGAGTATCAGCGCCTCATGCTGTGCTCCCCTGCCCCACCCCTTGCCAGGACCTATCCCTTCAGTGTGAGCTGCACACATGGTGGTGGGCTTGAGAGCCCCAGTCAGCCCTGATTTACATTCCCAGTCTTGTTGGGTCCTTTAAACTGAGTATTCCAGGGACCCCAGATCCATGGCTTCAGCTAACACCTCCCACATTAACTTTCCACCCTGGAGGTACGACTGCTCCCTCCTAACCCACCTAGGGTCTCATCACCTGGCAGCCAGACCTGGGCAGAAAATCCAGACATGACTTTACATGCAGTCTGGCCTTTAAGGAGAGCATATTCTGGTAGGGACAAGAGTGAGGACAAGTAAGAGTGTCAGAGTTACTGGAATGGGAATCTGTATGGGGAGCCAAGGGACACAGACCAGGAAAAGGTCAGAATGAGGTGGATGGAGGGAGGTGGTTGAGGGGGATGAAGGAGGATATTCCAGTAGATGGTGCACAGGTGTCCAAAACACCTGGTGCATTTCAAGAGATCCAGTGTGGAGGCGGTGAGGGAGATGAAGGTAGAGACAAAGACAGAAAGGACCCTTTGTCTCCTCACCTGTAGGGATTTAGATGGAAAGGCTCTATTAAGTTCTGGTGTGGCCCTGAAGGATAAGCACTGGACTGCAAACCATAAGGTTAGTGGTTCAAACCGACCAGCTGCTCCATGAAAACCCTGGACAGGGTTGCTATGAATCAGAATTAATAATGAAAAGAAAAAAAACTATTATGGCTCTTAGCAATAATGCTATAAATCTATGCTCACCTCAGCCTCTAAGTACAACTTAAGGAGTATTTAGGGGTAAATAGGATCGTGGCATCAGGATTGGAGGAAGACTCATTAACAACCTGCAATATGTAGCTTGAGGACTAAGGTGTGCCTGACTCAAGCCATGGTATTTGCAATAACCTCATGTATGTTATGCATGGAAAAATTGAAGAGGTCCAAGAGCTG